CTTCAAGACGCTCTTAGTTGATCTTTTAAGTCATGTCACCTCCAGCATCCTTCTTTTAGAAATTTGAATACGAATTTTGAAGATTGACAGAGTGAAAAGGATAATGAGAAACAGCTAACTTTACGAAAAATGTGTGAATTTTCCTAGCGATGCAGTAGACAGCAAGCACAACAAGCACAGGTATTAGGTTTGCGTGAAAGAAAACACTTTGATTTCACAGTTTCAGTAAATGGCTACAAAGAAGATGCCGCGAAGTAACAGTGGTAATTCGAGGGTGATACTCTAGATAATAAAGGCTGAACAAAACTTTAAGTAGGCTGATCTCATAGTAAGCATCATGAAAGATACTGCTTGTGGCTTAGGGAAAAAGTCTTCACAATATATGATAAGCTGTAAAGCAAAACACTATTTGTAGATTTTGCTCCAGAAAGCCACAGTACCCTTAAAGAATGTACATAACCGTAACCTGCCCTATTTTCTGGTGGTTTTTCGATGTATTATATCAGGGATTAAGAACATAAACTACCTCGTCTATACCCAATTTCACAGGGACGGACGATAGAGACCGAATGAAAGCTGACAGAGCAAGACGAGTCAACTCTCCTCCAGAAACCTTCAGCTTTTCGCTTTCTGCCCTTAACTTCCATGGTAGTGAGATAGCCTGCTGCAGCAACTGAAAAAAGGCAACAACTAGAAATGTGGGTGAGCAACAAGATTCGAAGTCTTTTTAAAGTTTACTTCTTTGTCACAAGAGTATCCAGCTGACAAGAGACCTTGCAAAGAGTGCGAGAGCGCCAGAAGGTAGCCATGACGATGAACCTGATAACTAGATGATACTTCAAATCCGAAAAAAGACAAGGAAAGCTCACAGGATTTGATGTATTGCATCCAGCCAAAAGCTTTCCAAGCCCAGCTGAAAGGTAACGAGGATGAAGAGGAGCGAGAACGCTCAAGGCTATGGCTGCTTGTTCCCGAACAACTTCATCCCAGTGAATTACCTGCAAAACTCAAACTTGA